GAAGACCCGGCTCATCCCACACGCAGATGTTGATGGAACCGCTTCTGTCGGCTATCTTACACGTCCTGATCTCGTGGTCCTCTTTGGTGATGTTGGGACGACCTGTGCCATCGAGAAGTCATATCACCCATGAGTGAGATAATGGTTAACCAGCGGATGGTGTCATGAATACAGACCTACTTCCAAGACAATTGCGATCAGATTTACGCCTTTCAAGCCGTGCTTTAAGTCACGGATTTGTGTCACCGACTGATCCATGACTTTCGATGGCCACCACTTCCGCTGTCCCGCAGATAATGGGCTATACTTTGCGAGTGTTATGCAAGCGATGAGCAGATCATTGAAAATGAGTTTCAATTAAATGTCACAAAAAGTGTAAATATTTTTTGCAATTATTTTTTGTTTTCAATCCGTCTTTCACTCAAAACTTATGCCAAAATCCCAGCATTTGTTCACAAATTACGTGACAAACAATTGATGCCTTCAACGAAAATGATCTCTTGGATACAAGTTTTGATCATAGTTTTCACTTTTTAGATGACTTGGATCATTTTATTTTAGTTCACAAAGGGTTCAATTGATAGCAACTATAGTTTGGCAACAAATCAAAATTGAAAAACTTTTTTGACATTTTAATAAGCGTTGGCTTTATTTACGTGTGATTTTCAATGGCAATGCTATAGTGTTAGTCAATAATCCCTTATCTATCTGTTGAATCTAATCCAAAGACTATATTTTTTGTGCCACAAACTTATTTATGATGCATTTTATTAGTATTTTTCATTAACAACCCGTTCCTCGTGGCGTTCACTCATTTCTATCATAATCTCAATCCTTAATTATTCATACGTTTGGTATCGGAATAAATTTGAATAAATTTGAAGATATTATAAGAAATTTATTTTTAATAAAGTATTCTCTCACACAAATGTTTTAAAGTTTTTGATTTTGAAAGTCTTTGGACAGAACATGAGATATCAATTGAAAACTAATCAAAAAAGTTCGCAAACGTCTGGAAATATAATCTATTATTTAGTAATTTTCAAAGAAACTCATTAATTGAATGAACGATAAGTGAAAGGGGATGGAGAGGGACATACAGTTCAAGGAATACCGGTTTCATAGGTGTCATCGACACCTGCACTACTAAATTGCATTTTACAGTCAATTGTACCTCTAATTCAGTCCATCAATGAGTCAAACAAAATACTTAATTAAACTTTTATATACTTTTCCAATTGACATTTAATACAATAAATTAGAGTCAAAAAGTTTTTAATTAATTTTGCAATTTTACTCATTTATGTTGGGAAATGAAATCTAATCCTACAGTCGAGTATCGGATTTGTGTTAACAAATCAGTTCATTATGTTTTCAAAGGGATTAAATGCAATTTGTTATGAAACTAGTTCTCAGTTCAGAGTGTAGTCATATATACTACAAGATATTCCGCACATTTGACATCAAATACTTATAAACTATTTATAGCACAGAATTGACTCCAATTCTCGTTCATCGGATCGATAGGAAAGGGAGCGTCAGTTGTGAGCCAATGGAAAAGGACATCAATTCGATCGGCTCCTGACGTATCATTCATTCATACCATACATCCATCGCTTTAATGAACACTTTATTCATCCATTCATTCAATGAATCCACTGATTAGTCTCATTCTTATGACTATTAAGTGATAGAATTTGAAGAATATTCTTGATTTACTCACAAATCATTGTTTTGCATGCATTATAAGCCAAACAGTTGTAGAAAGTTAGTCGAAAACAATCTGTTTATCGAGACTATGCTGTAAACCAAACGCTGAAAGTAATAAATATTGTGCTGGCGTTGAGCCAAAGACTACTTCATTCCTCATTGGTATCGACCGGTTGTGGTGACGCCAAAAGTGCAGTACTTTTAATGCAAACTCTGTTTACATCTTCACTAAAAATATTCAATAAAATCCGAGTCTAGAAAATAGTCTGTTTTTTCGCGAAAGCATTGCTGGCACTGAATCTCTCATTCAAACACAACCACACAATTCTCGTCGTTATTCTTAATAATTGACTGAAAAATTAATTTCTAACTAAAATTAGTGTTCATTTCTTGAATATATTTAAACTATTCCGTAAATATTGTTAATTAGTAAAGGGGTTCACTAAATAACATTTTAAGAGCTTCGTTTAATGGCAAATGAAATACAATCTGAAACAATTGGTATGTGTGCTATCGGTTGATTAAAAAATGCATTGTATTACAAGAATTATAGTAATTAATTCTCAAAATATAGCGAAAGTTAAAATTATAA